TTCGAAAAGACGTGGCGAGTGAAAACGGTGTAAGGTATTGCAAGATGTTTCTTTCATTCTTGAAGAAGTCGGGAGTTAGTTTATAAACGTCATTTGCACTGATGTAGGGTTGGCACATGTGGTAGTCTCCAATGGCGTATTCAACAATGATTCCGGTGTTGTCGTCGCTTGAAAACGGTTCATGCGAAGGGTTTGACTTGCACAATTTATTGGTACAAAATGGGTTCCCGCACCCCGTCGCGATAGACCTTGTGAGTAAGTCCATCCGTTTTTGGATGTCGTCATCTGAGAGGCTCATTTTGTGTTTTCAAGTTCCATTAACAATCCTATCACTTCTCAATCTTGTTTTGATTCACAATCTTTGTTTTGTGTATTATTTCTTTGTATTTTACTTCTAAAAACTATTGTTATAGTAAACAATAGCCCAATTTGTCTATTTCACTTATTAAACTATTTACAATTTATTATTATATTAATTTATTATTATTATTATTCAATTACAATTTTATTGTAATAAAGAAAAGTATGAAGTATATAAAAATCATTTGAATTCAAATCTTTCACAATTCTGTCTTAATATCATTTCCATTCTCCTTTTCCAGATCATTGTTTTTGTTTTCAAGTTCGGGTACAAAATGCCCAAGAAACTCCATCAAGTTTTGCTCATTCGGCAAATCCTTCATCATGACTTTCTTTATCTCGTCTTTCGTTCCGTCAAAAATGAACAATCTTGGAATACTTTCCAAGTCCCATTCTGGTCCCACATCATCGGTTGACGCGTCGATCCAAGCCATCTCAAAATATTTGAAATTTTTTGTCAGATTTGCAATCTTCTCAAACACGTTGTTAAGGAACCTCTGGCAATTTTCCGACCGCTTTGCGCAGAAAATGAGTAAATGGACCTTTCGTTTTGGTGTGATGAAATCTTCGAACTCGTTTCCTGTGATTCTTCTCAGGTTTTTTCCTTCATCGTCTTTAGTTAAGTTTGAGACCGCCAAAAATGGTTTTGTTTTGTTGTTCAACACGTTGTCAAGAAAGTGAGAGATTGACGTCAGTGAGATTTCTCTTTTTTCGTCAAAAACGTAAATATTGCGCTTATTAGGGTGGAGCAAACTAATAACTGGAAATAGAGACCCAGAGTGGTGCATATGGATCACCTGTTGTTCCGAAATCTTGTTATTAAAAGCGAAGAACAAGATATCTTCGTACTTTCCTTTTAACGACTTGAACATTGAAATTTGGTCTTGAGTCAACGTGGAGTTATAAAAGAACCAAAGAGAGTATACTGGTAAGTCTTGAACTCTTTCAAAGAGTGGGAAGTCAATGATAGGAAAGATGGGGAATGTTCTTAAATTGATGAAGTCGACAATACGTTGGACCTCTTTTCTACTGACTTCCTCGACCATTACAGACTCGGTGGTGTAACTAGTGTTACGCTCAACGTTGTATACTTCGAACGAAACTTTCTTTGTTGTGTCGTCATTGAAGATGGTGTAAAATTTTAAGAACTCCACCATGTCGGTGACTATCTCAACAACTTCATTAATTAAGGGGTCTTTGTTAAAGCGGATGAACACACAGTTTTTGTGTTCTTCTTTGATTCGAATAACATCACTTTCGGTGACATTTTGAAGGCGCCTCTCGACGTTGGCTTTTAGAAAAGACTGAATGCCTGTCAGAGAACGCTCGCCTTCAAATGGTTTTCTCTTTCCATTTCTAAACAGAAAGATCGTTGGATACCCTTGTATCTTCTCACCAAGACAAACCTCTTTTTGGTCGTCGCAATCCACAGAAGCAAAAGCAACGTTATCTGTTATGTTCGAAAGTTCCTCGAAAATTGGGGCAAGTGCTTTACAATGTGCGCACCACGGGGCAAAGTACTTCACAAGGACAAATTTGTTTTTGTCAATAAACTTGGAATACTCTTCTTTTTTGAGTGGGTGTACTTCACCATACCCAACTCCAAGCAAACACAACAAAACCAAAAACATTACTCATTTATTAGTTTAGTTTTTTTATAACTATAATATCTCAAATAAAAATAATTACTATTGTAATTATAATTTATTATTTTATACTATTTTATAATACTTAAAAATAATATTATTATGTTATAATACATTTTTTATAAATAATTTCATAAATAAATAGTAATAAATTGATAATACAAAAATCTATACCTCTATAATTGAACACAAGAAGGAATAATGAACTATAAAAATAGTAAGAAGTACTAACGGTTATAGGATAGTAAGAGAAACCCTGAAGACAAAAGAGAGAGAACTATTAGAGTCCAGTCCAATGGTTATTGTTCCAAAGGCAAGAAAGACGTATTGCCCCCGCTGCAACAAACACACTCCACACAAAGTGTCACAGTACAAGAAGGGAAAGGACTCTATCCACGCTCAAGGTAAAAGAAGATACGATCGTAAGCAAAAAGGTTTCGGAGGTCAGACCAAGCCAGTTTTCAAGAAGAAAGCAAAAACTACAAAGAAGGTTGTTTTGAAACTTGAGTGCTCCAAGTGCAAGTACAAACTCCAAAAATGCATGAAGAGATGCAAACACTTTGAATTGGGAAATGAAAAGAAGGACAAGTAATTTACTCGTTGGACTACACTTTCTGTTCAAGTTTTCACTCACTCTTTTTTTTATAAACTCCACCTTTTTTTCAACTAGTCTTCCCCACCTTTTTTTTCACTTTTTCAATAACTTTTTTGAACTCTTTGACCAATAAATGTTTTTCCATGAAACTATAAATTTATGGTAAAATATAGTATAATAAACTATACGAGTCAAGCCCAAAGAAACTGAAAAAGAAACCCTACAATAACTCTGAAGAGTAGTTATGTCGATCAAGTTTGTGTTGTTGTTATACTGAAAGGTGGGAGCTCATAATTAGGACCCAAGTCTGCTCGTTCAGCGGTTTTAAAATCCCAATTGGTAAGGGCCGCAAGTTTGTGAGAGAGGACATGAAAGTCTTCACTTTCATTACTAAGAAGTCGGAGTCTGCGTTCTTGAGAAAGACCAACCCAAGAAAGGTCTTCTGGACTGCGATCTACAGACAACTCAACAAAAAGGGTCTTCAACAAGAAGTTGTCGGCAAGAAGAAGGCAAAGAGAGTTATCAAGGTGATTAGAGGATACCACGGAATTTCTGCCGAAGAAATCGCCAAGAGAAAGCAGACATACACCCCAGAACAACTCGCTAAGAAGAGACAAGAAGCCATCGCAAAAATTAAGGAAATCAAGGCAACTAATGCTGCTAAGAAGGAGGCCGCTAAGAAAGAAGCAAAGAAGGAGGGAAAGAAGGAAGCCCATCCAAAGGCTAAGACCGCTTCTAAGCAACCAAAGGCAGGTAAAACTAACTTCAACTCCAGATGAGAAATTTTAACTGTAGTGAAAAGACCGTAGTTTTTTTTAAGTTTTTTATAGTATTTACTAGAATAATAATATATTTTATTTATTTATTTTGTATATTAATTCGATAATAGTTTTTTTATTACTAACAATTGTTAGTAAAACATTTATAAATGATAATAGAAATGATTATTGTTATTGAAATGTTATTGAAATATTGAATATTTTCGGTTAATTATTTTCAATTTGTTATTAATAAAAGTATAACAAATTGGTTTTAATATTGAACCAAATTTTGTAATTTAAAAACTATATTATCTTAATAAATATAATATTTTTTGTGGCGATTGAACTTCAATTGAAGAGCAGTTTTTGGATAAATTATTGAAATATCAGCATATTAAACTTTTGACCATTTACTCCCGAATTTTTAATGTAATAAGTAGTCATTTAATTATTATTAATAAAAATGCTAGTTATTAAAAATAATTAAAAAAAGTTCAATAATTTATACAATTGTTCGAATAAATATATTAATGACTTTACTATATTTAACTTCTTTCCATTTTTTAATTAAATATTTTAATGGTTATTTGTTTTCATCGAAATAACCCGATTATTTAAACAAAAAAAAGTTTTAAATAAATGATTGTTCGTTCGATATTTTAGTATAAAAACAATAACAATTATTCCCGATTTATTAAATCAATATTGCGGTATATTTGTTCAAATATTTGTATAACTTATCGCACATCAAATAACCGTTCGATTCGAGAATACCAACGAAACGAATAGAACTTAAAGAAAAAAATAAATATTGAGGATGTGTTGAAGTGAACCTTCTATCGTTCTAAAATAAGAATTATTTTTTATAAACAGAAACAAGAGGGGAGTGAAAAGGTTACTTATAATTCGAACAAAAATACCTTTATTTTACTCTCAGTTTTCACCAATAACTTGTGAAAAATATTGAATTGCCATCTCATTTTGTGTGGAAATATATTCATCGAGCGACAAACGAAATACTTGAGATATAAACTGAAAAATAGTAAGACACACACTCAATGCCTCGAAGTCCATTCTCCGTGTTTGAACCTTCCAATCCAACTACCTTTGAAATTTGTGAAAGAACAAACAACAGAAAGAACATCAAAAAGAAAAGATGGTGCCAAGCAATAAAACGAAGAGCTGTCAATGCGTTCTGTACAATGGGACTTACTAAAGCAGTGAAATACCTCGTAGCTGCTTACCCGGAACAGTATCAAGATCTCACCCCATCAACACTTCAGTATTGGGTACACTCAATGTCTAAAACGACTAAGAGCTTAGTCGTGGAATGATTGTATTGTATTGATGTATCTTTTTACTATTAAATTTAGAATTTATATTATAATTTTATAATATAAATATGACAATTGCATATAGCTTTTTAATTACAAGTTTAATTAATGTATGTCAATTTCTTTTAAAACTAATTTTTAGAGTACAATAAAGACTACTTAATATAGAACAAGAAGTTGCGTTTCAATTGTATAATTATAGTAATATAACTACACCCAATAATATAAAAATGAAAAAGAATTATTCAATTTAAAAAATAGAAATGCTGCCCCAAGAACTGAATATTACCGACGATAGAGCATGTTAAAAGTGAAAATAGTTTTGGCTGGATCTGCTGATACAGGGAAGACATCATTTATTCAACGATATTTTGGGGATTACACTGGCACAGAAAAAGTTGTAGGCGAAAAATATGTTCGTTTAGTTACAGTACACTGAAGAGTACTTTTGAAAACATTTTAACATGATACACTCTATTAAATAACTCTAGAGTAATTAAAATTGTAATACTATAATAAATACTATCAAATACTATAAAGAATGACACATAGAGAGAAAAAGACGTCACAATCAAAGGAGAAACGTATAAAGTGGAATTAGACGAGACCGAAGGAGTTGAAGGTGGAGTGACAGTTTCTGATGTGAAAAAGGCGTCCAATGTCTTAGTTTTGTTTTCAGTAGATAATAGAGATTCACTATCAGTGGCTAAAGGTCTTTTAGGCCTTGTCGAAAGATTAAAAGAAAATGAATGTCGAATTCTACTTGTTGCGAATAAAAGAGACTTACAGTGGAAAGTGACACGACAAGAAGTTCAAGAAATTTGTGTGGCGAGGTCGTGCGAGTTCAAAGAAGTCTCGTGCTTGAACGAAGAGGAAGTACCAACATTTGTGAATGAGTTGGTTAAGTCTTGTGTCGACGATATGAAGAAACAAATCGAAACGGAAAAAGCGAAAGGAAAAAGAGAGAGCAAAAAAAGTTGTGCTGTTTGCTGAAACAAATGTTATTGATGAGAATTGTTTTTTTTTGTACTATATACTATCATTTGTTTTATTATTTAAATAATACAATTATTTTGCTTTTAAAACTACTAAAAATATATTCAAAAAAATATTAAAATTAAAAAATTTGTTTTTTTGTTGATGATTTTTTTTGCAGAAAAAAGATTTATTTTTAAGATATTTAAAATATAAATAAGTCTGAAGAAAATATTTCAAAAAAATTTCAATGAAAATGAATTATATTACACAATTATTTTGATGCTAATTAAATACACAAATTATTAATTTTAATATTTTACTCAAAAAAATATAATTAGAAAATAATTAAAAAATAGTTTTATATTAACTCAAATATAATACATTTAATGGTTTATTATAAAAAAAGATTTGTTGCTTTTAAAATGAGTTTTGATTTAAATAATCTATAAATATTTATATTTCCATTAATATAATTCAAATTTTTAAAAACTTTAAAAAAAACAAAAATACAGTCATTATTCGATATAAGGGAATACCATGTACCAATGTTATTCGATATAAGGGAAAAAATGAGGAATTGTATAATTAACAAATAAATACCTCGGTTTGTTTTTTGTCACAAAAATATTTTTTTTTATTTTTAATTTTTTTCTAACCAAAATAAACACTTTGCCTATGTCTTGAAAACAATTGGCAATTATTTTTATCTTAAATGAATAATAAATTTTATAATATATCAAAAAAACAAAGACAAATATATTAACACAATTAACATAATAAATAAAACTTTTGTATCTAACTTTGTTTCGACTTAAAACTTCAAATAAATCTGTTAAATCATTAAGTTTTAATGCAATCCAAACGTGTTAAAACGAGAACATCATTGATGTTACAAGACAAAATAAAAATTATTGAATTAATTGATCTTTATCAAAATACACAGAAAGTAATCGAAGTTGTAAGACAACAACTAAAAATAGTAATTTCTCCAAAGCAAGTTTATCATTTGCGTTCAATTTCTAAAGAAACATTGATAAACTTTCCATCCTCGTATAAACGAATAAGAAAACCACAGAACCCGGAACTTGAGGAAGCAATGATCAATTGGTTTCATGAAGTTCGTGAAGCGGGAATACCAATTGATTATTTTATGTTGGTTTCCCAAGCCAGATGTTTTATTCAAGAACACTCAGATACTATTCACCAAGGTGCTTCTATTGGATGGGCCCAAAATTTTTGCAAGAGAAACAATTTTAAAATGTACAAAACTCATGGAGAAGCGGCTTCTGTAGATTTGGTAAAGGTTCGTCCTCTTTTCGAAGAACTGTTAAAGGTTGTTAATGAGTTCCCCAAAGAAGATGTATACAACGCCGATGAAACTGGTTTGTATTATATGGCTTTGCCCGAAAGGACACTTGATGATTCACAGAAGAGTGGTTATAAAGTGTCAAAAGCTCGTATTTCTTTAATGATTTGTACTTCTCTCGTGGGAGAGAAAAGACCTCTTTTGGTTATCGGACCAACAAAAAACCCAAGATGGTTTAAAGACCCTCACCTTACTATCTTTAAAACAATATACATCAACCAGAAAAAATCATGGATGACCACTTATATCTTTCATTATTGGTTGAAATCCTGGGATGACGAAATTGATCGCTTAACTCCAAATAGAACTATTCTTTTAATAGTTGACAATTGTCCCAGCCACACTTTGACGTTGAAAACAAATAACGAACTTTTTGATCTTGACGAGAGATACGAGTTTAAAGGCAAGGATCAAAAGAATTGTTTCGTATATGAACTCACTGGTTTGAGGCATATAGTTCTCACTTTCCTTCCTGAAAATTCAACATCCAAATATCAACCAGATGATGCCGGTATAATTATGTCTTTTAAGAGGCATTACCATCGCCTTTTTATGGATGTTGTATTAAGTTCGGTAAACCTCAAGAGAATGTTGCCTACTTTCACAGTTGGTAACGCAATTGAGATTTGTGTAAATGCTTGGGATAAAGTGACTAAGATGACAATAACCAATTGTTGGGAACACGCTGGGTTTCGCAATTGCTTTGAAGACTATGACGAAATTATTGATCCTCATTATGACTGGGAATTTGAAGGAGAAAATATACCCGCTTCAATGACGAATGAAGAGTATAACAACGACACGAATACTTTGTTAAAAATAAACGAAAAAGAAGTTGAAGATATCAAAGAAAATATTGAGACGCTTATTGTCCAAAAAGAGCAAATAGATAAAACAATTTTTGAATTACAAAAAAGATTACATAATATTGAACCTGAAAATGAAGACATTCCTGTAAATGTTAATGAACGGAATGAATCGTAGTTGTCAAGGAAAGTATTCTTTTTGAAAGAATGCAAATACATTCATTGTATTATTTCTAAATAAAATTTACTTGTTTATCTATTTTTATTATAAATTTATTATTTTGTTTATTTTAATAAAAATGTTTAATTAAAAATATAATAAAACATGGTTTTTATATTATTTTATTTGACTTTTTAACTTAGTGACAAATTAATCCAATTATTACCATTTTAAGTTTTTATAATGAAATAACCAACAAAAAGCAAACACATAAATATCTTTTTTTTATTTTTTTTTTCTATTATTCGATATAAGGGCTTCCTCTTATTTTTCTCTCTTATATCGAATAAATCCTTATATCAAATAACCCTTATATCGAATAATGACTGTATATAAAACAAACAAGTATATTTTATTATTAAATAAATTTAATTTAATTCTAAAAGATAATACTTAATAAAACAATTTTAAAAGACAATTTATTTTTGTTTTTTTTCATTATATTTTGTTGTTGATATTCGTTTTTAATTCGTTGTTTCTATTTTTTAATTATAATTATAAAAAAGTTTTAATTTAATTTTAGTTGAACAAAAATAAATTATTCATATAAATTATTACTATATGAATATAAATTATTAATATAGTATTATTAATAATATAAATTCAAAAAAAATATTATTTTTTTTCGATTTTAACAAGAAATTCAAAAAAATGAAAAATGCTCGATATTTAGTTTTTACACATTTTAGGTTTTATTTTGTGATTATTTATGTGGAAAAAGGCGGGTAAATTATAAAATTATAATTAAAAAAATAATTAATGGCAAAAAATTGTTCAATAAAATGTTCTTAATAATATAAATAAAGGAAATAAATTAATTAGTAACAAACTGTTGAAATTTCTCACAACTTACAAATGATTTTTCAAAATAACAAAAGTGCAGATCATAAACACATCCCCGTTTTTTCCCTATAAATTCTACAGAGTTCCTTTAAAATGCCAAAATAATTTCGCAAAACTAAAATTACATGACAAAACGCACTTTTTCATAACGCCGTTTTGTTGAAAAAAATGTTTAAATAACTGGGAAAATACAGGCCTTTCAATCGCAAAAAGAAATGAACGTTTGATGATTTTATACTTTAGTTGTCAAAAATCCTAAAAAAGGTCGAAAAAATGAAAAAGACAACCCTTATTTGTTTTTCTTTTTTTTTGTCGTTTCGACTGAGAATCTTGGTCTTATTATTTAAAAAAGTTTAAACTCAATTTTCAGACTTGAAATCATGGCCAAATACGTCACAACAATCCCAAGACGTCTAACCAAGTCACCTTCCATCATGGTCTGCAAACATTTTAAACTCGACTCGGCTGACTCCTCTCCTGTAAATCTTTTTGATAACGACTCAGAGGTTGATGACGAGATATATAGCATCTTAACAAAGTCTGCAGACTTCAGTTGCGTTTCAATTGGGCAAGACGAAGTCGTACAAGACTATGACATCGAACGGTGCAAGTCACTTCGTTCTTTCGAGACGATATACACATTTCATTAATTAAATAGTTGTTTATAATTAATTTATTAATTCATATAGTATTTGGTATTGTTTTACTCTTTGTGTGGATTAAACTATTTGCAATTCTCCACAAATGTTTTTGGAACAATGTCGATGTGGGGAACAACGTAGTTTTGGGCTTGATTTTTATGCTGTTTATGTTCTTATATCTTTATAATTATTTTGAATTAAAATATGGTTTCAAAAAAATGATTATTGCAATCAACGAAATTTTGGTTTAAAAATGATGATAATCTCGATGAATTTCCCGAAAATGTATATCAAACCGACGAATTGGTTTTTTTCAAAACTCCACACAGAATTATGCTTGAGATTTTTTGAAACCACGTGTGGCCAAATATTAATGGGTTGTCAAACCTTAAATATATTAGTTAACGAAACTATACAATTATTTAAAAATGATAATACCTGAAATATTATTCAAGTTTTTGTTTTTTTTATTTGTTTTATAATGAAGGGAAATTATGAACGATTCGAATTAGTTATGAAACTATACTATTACTATTAAAAATATGAAAATCACCCATCAAATTGAGTGATTTTATTGGAACGACATGACAGATAAACCACTAAAAATGTAACAATAATTTAGACATAAAAGGATACTTGTATAGCTCGGTATTCAATCCATACATTGAACACGTATCTACAACAAGTCGATGTAGATCATGTTTAATAGGAACACTGAAACGATTAAAAGTAGAAAAACGGACGTTGTAAACACGTACTGTTGGTCACCAATGTACAAATTGATTTGGTACAAGACCACAATCAAAAGAAGATATAAAGTAATGAACTACGTGGTGAGTTAATACGCAAAACCGTTGAATGTCAAAAACAAACGGTGACACATTTAATGAGACGAGGACTTAAATATGACTCCCTGTTTGAATGACGAATGATAAACGCGTTGTCTGCTTCATCGTCAATTTCTGAAAGGCGTTTATGTATTAATTTCTTTTGTTCGATACTCGTCCGCACTTCTGAATCAACTGTCATGTAATCATCAGTTGTATCGCTGTCATCGCAAATGGTGTCGTCTCCATCTGGGGTCTACATATTAAAATCAAATGCTATTGTATTAAGGACAAACCCTATCTCTTTCGTCATTGAAAAAAACGGGAGTGGATATTTTCTTGTTCAGTATTTCTTTGGTCTCCATCTTTTATTAGATGGATTTGTTTATTTGAAAAAAATGAAAAACATTTTTTTTAAAACACTTTTTTTTATTATAATTTTTGTTATTTTATAAAAAAATAAATTTGGTTAATTTTATTGTTATTATTATAATAATATTTTATTAATATTAGTATAGTTTTTCTTTGTTGAATACTAAGAAAAAACAATTATATAATCTCGTTTTTATTTTTCAAAATAATTATTTATTTTTATTTAAGATCCAAAAAATTGTGAGTTTCCTGAAATAAACATTTTTACTATAATTTTAATTCCTTTTTTTTATACAAATTTTCAATTATTTTTCTCTCTTTTCCATTTTTAACAACTCAAATTGTATTTTACAATTTTTGAAAAAAACTATATAATTTATTTTTTTTACAATAGCACAATTATAATAAAATTATAAATAAACCATTTCAATATTCAAAAACAAAAAATAAATAAAATAATAGAACTCTCACCACTAGCAATAATTTGCCGGTTATTTCAACTTGTTTTTCTTAAAACAGGTTAATATCTCCAAATTTACAACGCTTTTGAACCAAATTTAAAATAGTAATTATAATCATTAAAAAACTATATGAATTCTTAAAATAGTTTTATTAACTCTCAAACTGTCAGATTACATCTTGAAAAGGTTATGGCCGAAGCGAAGATTGTAAAACACGCGAAGAATTTGATTGAGTTTCCATCTGAAGAAGTCAAGAAAGAGATCAAGAATTTAGTTTCCATAGATATCTCGATGAATAGAATTCAAGAGTTGCCGTCACAAATCAACTCCCTTCCAAAACTGCAGAAATTGCGAGCGAATGACAACATGATTAAAACGTTACCGAATCAGATTAACATCCCCACTCTTAAGACTTTGGACTTGTCCAGTAACCATTTGAAGAAGTTCTCAAAATCAATTAAACTGACTTCTTTGACTGAGTTGAATATGTCCATCAACCAAATCACAAAAATCTCAGATGAGTTTGGTACAATGCAAGCACTGAGGTACATCGATATGAGTATTAATCGTATTCTCGCTATCCCAAAGCACATGTCGAAGCTCTCCAATCTCACGTTCATCGATATGTCTAATAACCTGTTGAATAACTTCCCGACTCCATTGCTTGAGTTAACGGGATTGGTCGTCTTAAAAGTGAAGGACAACAAAATCGCGACAATACCAAATGGGATGTCGAAGATGGCGTCTTTACAGATCTTAGACATCTCAAACAATCGAATCGATAAGATCACTCCATCGTTATGTAAGTTGACTAAACTCTCTGTGTTAGATGTCTCTGCAAATCCAGTGAATGAAATTAACGATCAAATCGCGAATTTGACAACTATTAAAGAAATTAACTTCTCGTATTCCCTCTTAAAGACATTGCCAAAGTCATTTATGTCACTTATTGGCTTGAAGAAGTTAACACTTCAACATACGTCAGTGAAAGTCCCTCCAAGTGGTCTTCAGAAGTTTACGAATGTCTCCGAACTCAATTTGTCCAATGGAGAACTTGAGAAGGTCACTGAGCTTCCTAAGTCTGGAGATATTGATTTGTCAAGTAACCAAATTGTCGAAATGGACTTGCCGGAAATGGAGTATGGCATTCACAAGTTGAACTTGTCTTCAAACAAATTGAAAGATTTTCCAAATATCAAGAAGCTCTCAGTGATTAAGACGTTGATCATTCAAAAGAATATGCTTGGAAGTGTCCCTGAGGAGATGCTCACAGGAACAAGTTTGACTGAATTGGATTTGTCTTCGAATTCATTCAACTCATTCCCAATGGCTATCACGACGTGTACGAATTTGGTGAGACTTAATATGTCGAACAATTATCTCGACTCATTGCCGGATATCTCATACAGCTGCTTGGCTAAATTGGAAGAACTTCTTCTTGGTATTAACATCATAGATCGACTCCCAGACACTATGAGTGAGTTAACCAATTTGACTTCTTTACATCTTGAACACAATAAGTTGTCGAAGATCCCCGAGTCCCTCTTTTCTATGGGTAGACTCGTTGGACTCTTTTTGAATTGTAACCAAATTCCAGAGCTGCCGGAGAAGTTCTCGTTGTTGACGAATTTGGAGATGTTGGAATTGTCGTGTAACTTCATTAAAGATGTCACGCCTATTACTAATTTGGTTGCGATCAAAGATCTCGACTTGTCGACGAATGAAATCTTGACTTGCCCATCGAATTTGTGCTCAATGACGTCACTGAAATCACTTGACTTGTCGTATAACGGAGACTTCTCCTCGACGGAGAACTTCCCGATGTTCTTTGCGTCGACATTGACGCGACTGACGAATTTCCACTGCACTATTAATGATAAGGTGAAGCTCAATAAGTTCGCGTCGACACTGAAAACCCCCATCACCGGTCCCGTCCCGTTCAAAGCACAAAACCCGACCGAACACTTCTCACTTGGGAAACCCAATTCGATGCGATTTAATAACGTCGCTATTTCAAACGACACGTTCACCTTTGGGAGTGCGGAAATGTGTGGTAAACGAGATCAAATGGAAGACGCACTGATTCTGATTGAAAACTTCACGGCGGGCGGAGTCCATTTAATTGGGCTGTTTGATGGGCACGGAGGCGCGGAGTCGTCGAATTACGTTGCGTGCCACTTCGCGAGAATATTGAAGAAACATTTACTCACTGAAAATAACTTGGGAGTCGACGCCGCACTCATTGAGACGTTCAACGAGTTGACTGCGGACGTGAACAAGAAGGAGTTCAATGATGGTACAACGGCGTGTGTGTTGTTAGTGACGCCGAATGAATATTACACGGCTCACGTTGGTGATTCGCGTGCTATTGTTGTACGAAAACAAGATTATGAACAACTCACTGAAGACGATAAGGCAACGGCACCGTCTGAAATTGAACGAATAGTTTCTGTTGGCGGATATGTGACTAAAGGAAGAGTGAATGGTGTCTTGGCTATTACAAGATCAATAGGAGATGTCAGATTCCAACCATTTGTATCATCGGAGCCTCATGTGAATCGATATGTCCGACGTAAAGATACGGACATGTGTATTGTGATGGGGTGCGATGGTGTCTGGGATGTGTTAACTAATGAAAAAGTTGCTGATATTTGCAGAAAGAAAGAAGGGACAAAGAGAATGTCTGAAATTGCGGGGTATATTAGAGATATGGCTTTCATTCTTGGCTCTGAAGATAACATCTCCTGTGTCGTCTGCCACTTCTAATGAAAAGAGGAACTACAACAAAGTGGTTATTGATTTGTTTGTTCAGTTGTTTCTTTGATTTGAGAATGAATAAGTAAAGGTAACACAATACTGAAGGTATTATAATTTCAAATGGTTCTTTTTACTATTGGCAAATAAAATGATGTTTTAATCGCCAGCACTTCTTTCAGTTTTTATATAAATAATCACCACATTATGGATATTCTTATTAATATAGTTGATAAGTAAAAAAGTATTATATTGAATGGTACAGTGAAATTACACCAACAAGTCAATTACATCAGTCGACCTCCTCAATCTTCGGCCCCTTTGTGTCGCTCTTCTTTGCGCCCTGTTGTTGTGCACCGGGCATACCACCTTGTGGCATACCGCCTGGCATGTTACCAGCTGCTGCATTCTGTTGATACATTTTAGTGAAGATGGGCTGGATCTTAGCCTCAGCTTCCTTCTGTTTCTGTGTGTATTCATCCTTTGATGCCGATTGGTTCTTGTCGAGCCAGTCGAGTGTCTCCTTGATGGTTGCTTCAATTGCCGCCTTGTCGTCTGGTGAGAGCTTTGCTGCAATTTGCTCGTTGAGTGTGTTTTTCATCGAGTAGCAGAAGTTCTCAAGTCCATTCTTTGCTTCAACAAGCTCCTTCATCTTGTCGTCCTCCGCCTTGAACTTCTCTGCGTCTGCAACCATCTTGTCGATCTGCTCCTTTGAGAGTCTTCCCTTGTCGTTTGTGATTGTGATCTTGTTCTTCTTTCCTGTTGTCTTGTCTTCAGCCGACACATTCAGAATCCCATTTGCATC